TGAGGAACAAAATGATAGCCTCGTGCCTGTGTCTTTTGTGCTCTCAGGCAGATAAGGGAATAAGTCAGCTTTGTAGCAGGAATAAGCGTAGTTATGTTGACTAACAAGACTGATTTCTTCACTGCATACTATGTTGTCTTGATTGTGGTGTAACAGTTACAATACAGTTAACTCCTGTTCCTCATCTCTTACAGGTAGTGAACATAGTAACCAGTAACCAAGAATGTGTTAACAACATTGCTGAGGCAATGGTTCTTTCCAACTTGCTGGCCCTCCTGCATTCCCTGCCTTCAAGTATGTACCATGTAGTTCTTTGGTCTTGCATGGCAACAGGTTTTCAGCTCACAAAACTCCTTAGAATGCAGCTGATTGAGCTTTCTTGCTAATTTTTGTGTAAAAGGGTTTCAATGGGGATGATCAGGAAGCCATTTTACACGACCAATTCATAGTCTTAGGTACGAGCTGAAAAGGTTGACTTGGGAAGATTTGCCTAGCAGATCATGGACTACTTACTGAGTATTGACTGCCTAAATTCTCTAAACAAGCAATGTCTGACTAGATTGTATGATTGGATGCTCTTTAACCTGCCTCACCTAACTTAACTTAGCCAGAAATCCATAAACTGCTCATTCTTAGTGTATGTACTTCTGACCAGACCTTCTTATTTTATTATTTTAGTGCAGTGTTCTGCTAAAATGACTGGTTTAGTTTATCTTTGATCGATTAATCATGTATATGGCAGATATAGTTCTTGAAGTTTTTCTTGTTTATTTTGACAGGTCGGCAACTTGTTCTTGAAACTTTATATGCTTTAACATCTAGCACAAAAATAATTAAAGAAGCCATGGCAAAAGGTATAGTAATAAATCAGAAGTTACATTTTTTGACAATACTGGTTAGTGGCCAAAACTTGTCTTTAAAACAGCATAGAATCTGATTTTCTATGACTCAAGATCATAAGAAAATCTGAACATTTCTGTATGTTTCTACAGGTGCTTTAATCTACTTATTAGATATGTTTTGTAACTCAACTCATCCCCAAGTCAGAGCCCAGACAGCAGAGCTTTTTGCCAAAATGACTGCAGATAAGCTGGTGGGTCCAAAGGTAAGAATCCTAAGCGTGCTTGTTGGAACTGTAATCTTGACATTCGCAGCCTCTCTCTAAAGACTGTGTGGAAACAGCTCTTCCATGACAAACATTCCTGTGAAGAGCAAACTGACTTCCTTGTGATTAATATGCAAGCAGATTTTTTTGAAGCAATTTTCTTGCTTGTAGCTAGTATAAGCACTTTGGTTTCCATGTGTAGTATGACTTCAGACCTGTTATTGACTATAACTATTTACGATAGCTAAGTCTTACGCTAACTATGCTGTTCCTCCTTTCTAGGTTAGAATTACGCTAATGAAATTTCTGCCTGGAGTCTTCATGGATGCCATGAGAGATAACCCTGAAGCTGCTGTTCACATCTTTGAGGGAACTCATGAAAATCCTGAGTTAATTTGGAATGATAACTCCAGGGAGAGAGTATCAACAACAGTTCGAGAAATGATGCTAGAGTATGTGGAGACCTGTTGCCTAAGTATATCTTCTTAGTTGAGACCACTTTTAACATTAGCGAGCTTGAGCTGCTGTCAAAGTGAACCCTCTAGGGAGGAGGATCTTTACAAGCCAGACTCTGTAGTAAAAAGGCTTGTTTACTCCTGTGTGTTGTGCATGTAACTGGTGACTGCCCTGGTGCAGTCTGTGTACACTCCAGGGTAACTGCTCACAGTGACAAGATTCTGAAAGGAGAGAATATGGGGGTATAGAAACTGGACCTAATTCATGAATGATGGAGAGGGAGGCTAGCAAGGGGCAAAGGAGGGACAGACTGAAACTTCCACCACTCATTAAACTCTTTTCTTTTAAAGGCACTTTAAACTTCAGAGGGACAACCCTGATACTAGTTGGAAGGTAAGAGCAGAATATCTGTGCTGTGGGTCCCCCTAGGGAGACTGTAGAAAAACCTGACGAATATATACATATGTAACAACTCAAATGGTTTCCTTGTCCTTGTATTGATAAGCGCCAACAGAAGTCAACGTTATGCTAACATAATATTTTAGCATCGAACTGATGCTTTTATACTTTAAAATCAGAGTTACTTTATTTCCTTTTGTTGGAAGGGCAGGTTCTAAATATTTTGAATTTTATGAAAAGCTCAGGCCCTTCATAAAGCTTCTCAAAAGTTGGCAACTAAGGAGAATACTGGTTTGCTGGGGAGAGCAGGTCGCTTACTGCATGGCCGTAGTAAACTTGCTCTTGGTGAGTATTCAGGAACACCACTAAGCTACTGAACTGTAGTGAAAGTGGCTGTCCTGAGCTGCTCCATATGTTAGCTCAGTCACTGAGATATGTTTTGCTCTCTAGCATTACCCAATATCTATAAAACCAATAGCCAAAGCTCAAAATAAGCTTTAAACAGAAAGAGGAAAACCACGTTGTTGGAAGTGTAAGCTAGAAGTTTCCCTGGGTTGGACGGTGAAAGGAAGAAAGGAAAGGGCTTGACTAATCAGCCACACAACTTAATATTGCTTCTCTGAACTTGCTTAGCACCGCTCTAGCTGCACACCCAGCTACTTGGATTCTTTGCAAGGAAAGTCCATTGTGGGTAATTCTACCTGTATTTTTTTTCTACCACCACTCTTTTTCATGTTTATAAAAGATATTTGATATTTGTTGGTCTTGTACCAATGCTAGCTCCCATTTTAGCTGGTTCAGAGTTCTTGTCGTTGAAGTGTGGTATTGTGGAAACAAATGCTGCTTTCACAAATATTCCTTGCCAGGTAATAATTCTTTGTGTTTGTTATGATTCTACAGCTGCCTGAAGACTTTGCTGTGGTATATGGTGAAGCAGAAGGTGAACTTTCAGTAGGGGGAGTCTTCTTAAGGATTTTTATTGCCCAGCCGGCCTGGGTTTTACGGAAACCAAGAGAATTTCTCATTGCACTGTTGGAAAAACTTACTGAACTACTGGAGAAAAATAACCCCCATGTAAGATGACTTTCTCTTTCTGCTCTTTGAACTCTTAGTAGTCTGGTATTGCTACACAGTTAGTTTCTGATTAACTCTGCTTCTCACACTTTCTTCCCACCATAAATGACAAATCATATCTCTGTTATTTTAGATGGTCAGGAAGGTAACAGTCTCTGATCCCAATTCAGTGTTGTGTGTGTGGGTGTTTTGTTTTGTTTTGTTGTTTTTGTTTGCTTGTTTAAGTCCCTGAAGCCACAGAATTGGCCTCAGTAAGTCTGGGTCATATGTTAGGGTGGTAATGAGTCTTTTAATTATTCTGCAGCTGACTGATATGGCACCTGTTTTCTCACAGCCTCAAATCTTTCAAGTCTTCATGCACTTTCTGGTGTTTTCTTTCTGCAGTACTGGTTTCTCATGCTGATGGTGTGAATTTATGGGACCTGGAGTTGTCATCTGACAAATAGCTTAATACAAAACTCTTATTCAAACTGAAATATTAGTTCTATGTGCAAGTCAGTGGCTTAATTACACTGGTAATAAACTGATTTTTAAAGTGTTCAGACAGATGCTAGGGGCAAATTAAAAGAGGCAACTTACTTGTGATATGAGTGTAATAGCCTTAGTACAGAGATGTGCTGGAGTTTGCATGGGCATGCAGCATTCAGCAGGTGTGATCAGTCTGGCTGCAGGCACTGCAGAAATCCCTTCAGACAGCCTAAACATCCTTACTGTCGCCAAGCTTGTGTGCTGCTCTGCCAGCCATCAGCTCCTCTGGACTGAAAACAGGGTTCAATTTCAGTGTAATCCGTGAAGTTCAGTGTGTATTTGGCCACGGCTACTGGAACTGTTTCTTCTGGTTCCTTGTTTTAACAGTTTCAACAGTAAAAGTATGAGGCAGTGTGTACTGTAATGGCATGGAAGTGTGAATCATTATTCCTAATATGATGAGACATTAGGCTTTACTGATTTATTTATTTATTTTCCCCCTGCAGGGGGAAACCTTAGAAACTATAACCACAGCAACTGTGTGCCTATTCAGCGCCCAGCCTCAGCTTGCTGACCAAGTCCCTCCACTTGGTCATCTTCACAAGATAATCCAGGCCATGAATCACAAGAACAACGCCATTCCGAAAAGTGCCATTCGTGTCATGCACATACTGTCTGACAATGAGGTACCAAATCACTCTTGAGAAATTATTTTAAAAGCTATGAGTAGGTTTTTGTTTGCTAATGATCCTAGTGCATTATTCTGATTATAAATATTGCATAGCAGATAAACAGAGACTCACTGGAGAGTCAAGAGTTTAATGACACTGAGAAGCTTGGTCTTGGCTGATCAGAATCAAGGTTGGCCTAAAAAAAGATAAAATAAAACATTCTGGATGCTTGTCTCCTCATAGCTTTGTGTTCGAGCAATGGCATCACTTGAGACCATTGGCCCTCTCATGAATGGAATGAAAAAGAGATCCGATATAGTTGGTGTAGCCTGTGAAGCCCTTAATCGGATGTTTCAGAAGGAACAAAATGACTTAGTAGCCCAAGTAAGTAGCATGTTCTTACTCTGTAGAATGATGTAACTTTTGTTCATCTAATCTCTTTATAAAAAGAGGTACCATCCAATTCAAGAGTCGAGCAATGTCAGAAGCCATCCAATAATGTACTTTCCATATTGGAGAAGACAAACTTACCCCTTACGCAAAACATAAGCCTGCTCAAGGATGTTAACCCCAGTACTGAAACTTAGTGCACAGGAAAAGGTTTGAGCCTGTTTCTTGCAAAAGCAGCAAGATGTGAAGGTTGCTAATCAAACTAAACTTGTTAAAACGTGTTAAGTGCATATCAAGGTAACTCACTTGTGTCTGTTTACAGGCTCTGAAAGCAGATTTGGTCCCTTATCTTCTAAAACTGCTAGAAGGTATTGGCCTTGAAAACTTGGAAAGCCCATCTGCCACAAAAGCTCAAATTGTGAAAGCTCTCAAGTCCATGTCTCGCAGCCTACAGTACGGGGAGCAGGTATGTTCTGACCAGCCCTTAACTGGGCTTTGTGCACCTGCAAAATCCAACACTGAACAAGTCTTGACCCATCTTACTGTGGCTTTTGTGTTCAGCTCCACCTGGAACATTAACAACCTATAGCTACAAAATCATGATGGAGCGAAACTTCTCTTGTGGAGAACTCGTATTGACTCAATTGAGTAGTAAAAAGCACTAGTTGGAGACAAAATCCAAATGTAAGAATGTGCTATAAGCATCAGCTAGGCTTTTACAGACAACTCTTCATTTGGAAACCACAGTTGTTCTTTTGTTTGATGGTGATGACCATTGCTGTAGACAACTGCAGCAGTATAACATACTTGTATTCAAGTCAAGTATTCATTCAATAAAATCTTTCTTGAACTGGATTCTTCTCCCCTTGACCTTGTGTTGAAGGCTAGGCCAAAAGCAGTAGGTTTTTCCTTCAAATTGGGCATATTTTCCTGCTGTAAGCTTAAGCTCTAGGCACAAGGCAAGTGGCTGTTCCCAGGATTGCTTTTCTTGGCCTCCCAACTGAAGGGAGAAAAATCAAGCTCCTGAAGACGCTGAGCCTTCCACACTGTATGGTGCAGTGCTCAGCTGCACAGCTCAGTTGGAGAAGCAAGTTCTTAGTCTCCTCTGGAACTTCAGATCAGGATATGAAATCACAAATACTGCTGTCCTACTTGGTGATCCCTTCAAATTGACTTAGCTCTCAAAAATTAGGTTGTTTCTTCTAGACCCGTGTCACTTGTTCATTGTGTTAATCTCTCTTAATGCTGTAGGTAAACGAAATTCTGTCTCGTTCCTCTGTGTGGAGTGCCTTCAAAGATCAGAAACACGACCTGTTCATTTCTGAGACACAAACATCAGGATACCTCACAGGTTTGCAACTCTTTCCTATTCATGTCCTGAATAATACTGACCTCTTTGACTCAGTTGTGTCAGACGGAACTCCTGTAGTGCTGATGCTCAGGATCTGGTGTCGTCTGTTGCCTAAACAGCTGAACTGTGTTAATTCTGCCCTGCTGCTCTTGCTAGAGCATTGGGCAGTGTGAGTGTTAGTGGCTTTCTGGGAGTGTGGGGATGTTTCCCTGGCTCAGCAGTGGTTCTCCAGTGATCACCCATGCTTGTGGTACCCACCTGACTGTGCTTATGGAGTGTCCCTTGAGGGTTTCCCGGGGGTGCTGTCAGGGCTGCAGCTGTCTCCAAGCTGGGAGCACAAGACCTGACTTCCTGGAAGTGGCTGCCCAGGATCTTGGGTAGATGCTGAAGGAGCAATGCCTGAAGTCTTGCCCTTTTCCACAGGCTTGTTCCAAACTGCAGCCCTAAACAGCAGCTGCCTGTTCTCTTGCACCATTTACTCTCTGATGCCACATTGACAAAGAATGTAAATTGTTAGCTGGTGCTAAAAAAGCCATTAGTAATCTGTAAACTGGGGAGTAAACCTCAGCCAAAAACAACTATGCTGGAAACTCTCAGGCTTGCAAGCGGGGGCAGTGTGGCTCAGCAGCTCTAGGCTGGGATAATGTTGTCTTAAGGCCTGTGCGTTGTTTGACTTGCCTGGTGTTTAGTGCAGAATGAAGACGCTGTAAACTGAACCACTAGCAGCTTTTAATCTGCATTTTCTTGTGTTCTGCCTATTTCTTGCTTCAACTTGCTTTGCGGTTTGCACTTCCCTTAAACTTCCCCTTGCTTATTTCTTTCCCTCAGGTGTCTCTTCTCCTTCCCTTCTAACTGGCAGCAGTCCCCTTCACCTGAGAAGTGGGCTTTAGGTCTGCTGTGCCAGGCAGCTTGCTAACTTCTGTGTAGCTCTCTAAAGCAGGTAGATACCACCTTGTGAAATGCATGCCGCGCTCCACGGAACAGGTGCATGTCAAAGTTGTAGCAAATGTGGACCCCCGAGCTGGAAAACTCAAACTTCTCATCCTTATGCACACAGCAGAAAACTAACAGTGCCACAACTGGCACTTGCTGGTTCTACAGATGCGTTAATCTTCTGAAGTGTTCAAATGCCCAATTATGGGAAGATTCGAAGGTGAAGGGGTGGCCTTCTTGCACCAGGACATGCACAAGTGGGTCTGGATCTTCGCAATGTCCCCATGGGCTAGTGAAGAGCAGTGCCCTTGGGGTGAGGGAGCTTTTACCAAAGGCACTGTGTGCTTTGTGCGCTCGCTTGCAGTAGCATCATGGGGCTGTTGCTGAACAAACCCTGAGATTCTGGCTCCAGGCTGTGGTGTGAGAAGGGAGGGTGGGGGATGAAGGGACAGTAAATATGGGAGAATTTAAGGGAAGTGTAAAGGGCCAAGCAGAACTTTTGCCTACTCAGGACTATTGACTTTGTAGGCTGAAGAACTGGTACCAAGTCAATCCCTAGCAACTCAGAAGCATGTTGAGTGTGGGCAGTTTTCTACAACTACTGATCGGAAAAGACTTGTCCTTAACATAATGTCTTCTACTGCAATAGGAGCAGTTTTATAGCACTTGGTGGAGATTTCTGTAGTGTCCAAGTGCAAACTGAGAAGAGATGCTTTGCTTTCAGTACAAAATTGTTCAGGGCAGCTGTTTGTGCCTTCAGTTAAATAAAACAGTATCCTTGGGATGCTCTGTTCCAGAGATGCAAAGCACTTGACACAAGCCAGTCTAACAGATCAGTGCATGGGTCAAACATGAGGCAGTTCAGTGAACTTGCTGCAGTCAGTCAACTTGCTGCAGTCAGAAAAAACTGTGCCTGGGGCTGCTGTACTTCCACAGTCCTTTCCTTAGCATTAGGAAGCCCCACTCCACTCTTCCCTGCTGGGAGATGAGATGGCTGATACTGTTGGGGTTTTGTCATCCAAAGGGTGTATAGAAATGGAAATACTCTGTGTGGCCTAAGAATGGTCTATGTCAGTTTCTTTACTAAGTAGCTAAGAAATTCAGCGGTCTTAGTTCTAGTGTTCCTGGATTGTGAAAAATTGAATTCCAAAACTCTGATCTCAAGGAAGTTGACTTGAATGATGTATTTGAGCATTACCAGAGAGAAATTACAGCTGTTCAGTCACTTTAAAAGTGCAACTAATCACCACTGTTCTCTGTGTGTGTTTCGTGTTCTTGTTTTTTTTCTCCCCCCAAGGCCCTGGAGTTGCTGGTTACCTCACTGCAGGGACGACATCATCCGTAATGCTCAACGTACCACCCCCCGTAGACAACGATGTGGGAGATGTCAGCTAGGGATTGGAAATTCTCATGGAAAGACACAGAAGCAGCCTGGCCAGTGATGAGGAACAGCCTTTTCCTCTAATGTTGAAGTGAACTTACTGCCTTTCCAAATCTTTAATGACAGTGTTATTCCTTTTTCTATGACTGTTTTTTTAGGAAAAGTCAGTGATTCTAACTATCACACTGTAACATAAGAAAGCACTCTGTGGATCAGTTGAAATGGGTACACAAGAATTTTTTTCTTGTTGTACGTAAGCACATTTTGTTCCTTTATATTTGTTTACAAGACTGTGAATCAAACTTTCCTAGTTTTTATATTTTATGAATTAGCATGACTGGAGTTGAGCTACAGTCTCGAGGAATTGGGCTAAATCACTTTGACCTCACTGACCCCACTAAAAGGGCACTCCCTTCTCCCAGCCTGACACGATCACTCTCCATCGAATGCGACTTGCAAAGGGTTTGTCCCTGTCCCCTTCACCGACCTTAATCATTAACATGATCCTCGTGAGATCAAACTGCATTAGACAGTCGTATGTATAACTGGCTTTACCAAATTGAAAAAGCTTCAGCAAAAAACTTAAAGTTGACATGTTATGTAAGAAATTAGTGTAATTGTGAAATGTTCTATACATTATCCAGTATATAAAAACTTTCTATATAGAGTGTACATTATACAGATCATTCACATGTACATAAAATTTTAAAAATAAAGGGAATTAAGAGCCTTGTTAATGAGAAAGGAGGTGTTCTTATGTAGCTGTTTTTGGGAGGGGAACAGGAAGAGAAGCAGGGGGGACCTTAATTTGAGTGCAGGTAACTAGGGCTGCTTGGGAGCCTGTAGGGGGAGAGATGGGGTTGTGGGTCCTGGCCCCTACCCCTATGGGGCTAGACCTCCTCGAGCACAACTGTGAGGAGGGGGAGCTGCTGTGTTTGAACTATACTTCAGCAGGGACTTGCTGGTATTCTCGACTTCCTCTGAACTAGCCTTGGCAGGAAGTGAGAGGAAACTAGGATGGATGAAAATATAAACAATCACTACTGCAGTGATGGAGCAAGTGTGGAACTTGTTTGCAGGCAGCTGCCACTTCCCGGGAGCTGTCAGGGTGTGGCTGCTACCGTTCATCTGAGCAGGCAGCTCTGGCTCCTCCTGCAGGAGCAGATCCAGCAAGTTCTGCCTTTGAGCTCTGTGACTCCTCACTTCCCCAGGCTCCAGCCAGAGGCCTGTAATTGTTAGCTGGGAACTGACACCTCTACAGTGAAGGATTCTTTATAGTTCTTTAGCACACACAAAAATCCCTAAGTCAGTTGTTGCTAACTGTACCCAAGCTGTAACTCTGCCCACATGCTGGAAGAAAGACTCCCCTACCTTACAGAACAGTGCCCCCTCACTGCTGTTTCCTACGCTGCATGTGGCTCTGAACAGTTGCTGGTTAGCACTGCAGTGCAGTTAAGGCACTTCTAACCTTTGAAAACATAAGAAATATTAAGAGTTTAGCTTGGAACAAATAAAGCAGGCTGTTAGAAAATTAATTTTATTCAATGTTATAGAGAATTCATACGCTTTTGAGCATTTGAGGTGCTTTTCACAGAGTGAAATTCTACAGCCTTGCAGTAAGCCCCTGATTTGTAAGTGCAGTAATCATAAGGAAGGGTTATAAGAATATGTCTTGCTTCAAGACAGAAGCAAATCCTTTGTACTCATCTAGCTATAGCTTTAACAGGGTTATTGCTTGAACACTACAATCATTCCTTTGATCTGTCCCCTGTAAGAGCTGCCTTAAGGCTGGCATTAGATTTTTGCAGTGAGCTTCTTTGCCTGGTCACGTAGCTCCTGTTCTGCAATGGTGGAGAGATGAACTTCATCAGGCCCGTCGGCCAGGCGCAGGGCCCGTACGTTAGCAAACCTGCGTAGAGAGGCCTGAATTAGGTAGAGACTAGATGAGACCTGCTACAGCAGGAAGCCAAGCAGGGCAAAAATGTCTGCACTGCACCTAGAGCAAGGCAATTGCTCTATTAAAGGCAGCTGGTGACATTTCATAACTTGTGTAGTAGTAAGCTTGACGAAGGAGAGGCTCCCAGAGGTAAGCAGGCAGGTACAGGCATTATAAAACTGTATGGTCTTAAAAGGAAGCTATCTAGAAATTAGAGATAAGTCTCCCCTACTCACATGGCAGCCAAGGGAAAATCCTGCGACACTCCACCTCCACCACAGACTTGGATTGCGTGGTCGATCACTTTAAGGGCAGCTCTAGGCACAACCACTTTGGTCATGGCTACCTGCAGTTAAGAGAACTCACATGATCAGCCCTAGAAGGGAGGGGGACATTTAGGTGACAGTTTCACTGAAGCTTCATTGCACCCAGGACAAGATTTGCTCTCTAGCCTGAGAGACAGCCCTACTGTCTCTATTCCATACATAAAGTAAGATTATCTCTAACGGCAATGATTAACCAGAACTACATCTTCGTGTTAAGAGACTATTGAGCAATGCTTTTCCTTCTTGAATTTTTAAAAGTACCTCATCAGCTTGATCTTGGACATCTTCAAAGGGACTGTACTGTCCAGCATTGTTAACCTTAAGATGGACTCTTGGCTCCCTTGTTTGCCTTCCAGAGGAAGCTGTGCCATAAAGTCTTTCTTTTTTTTTTTTTTTTTTTGTGTGTGTGTTTGTGAAATACTGTAGCTTAAATTTCAACCATCTGCCTTCTGAAAATGCACCAGTATCCCCCCTCCCGGCCTGTCACCCACTCTTCTCCTATCGGGAAAGAAAGTCACCTCCTTCCGCGCGTGCCTGTTGCCCAGCCGGTCGATCAGGCTGGCCGTTTTCAGTGTGAGCAGTCGGGCTTGCTCTATGGTGAGGCGGCTCTCAGCAATCCAGTGGGCAACCACTTCCTGAAGAGAAAGGCCAAGGAAAGGAGCAGAAAGTCAGTTAAGGTGGCCAGGCTTGCGCCTGCCCTACTGCAAAGCCATCTTCTATTCCTCAGTGTCTGCATTCCCACTCGTTTAGCAACATCCTGGTGCAAATTAAAGCTACTCTGACACATAATCTGATACAAAAACAAAAACCCCACCCTGTGAGTGATACAAATGCTAAGGCTACAACAAACTCCTTGGCAGGAAAGTGCACGAGGAAAAAAAAACATGGACTCCTCTTCATTTCCCTGATGAGGCACATGCAAACCACCCTCCTGCAGCCATTTGGAGTCTACTCTTTGCTCTCTATCTTCCTCAACCTGCTCCCCCTACTCCTAGCTGGGCTCTGCCCTTCCCTGTGCAGAGGCAGGGGCTGGGAGAGCAGAGCTGGACGAACAGGGCTGTTTCCTCCAGCTAAGGCCAGGGTGGGTAGCGTGTGCCCAGGCAAACAGCTGCCGCGCCAATGGGGAGCCAGGAGCAACCTTGATGCAAAAGGAGTTTGGGAATGGCCCTTGCAGGCCCTGTTAGGAAACTGTTCCCTAAGAACACTGCGCCTGTTGGTGCTGAAGCTGGTCGTTAGAGGCTCCACGTGCGTGGAGGTGACAGTCTGTCATCCCAAGGCAGCCGACAGCTTCACCACGAGAGGTGCCCTGGAGCTGGGAAGAACCGCAGCCCTGGCCCCAGCTCTGACTCCTGACGCACGGGAGCTGGAGCTTTGTCAAATGTTATTTAACCTCACTGGGCTTCTGAGAAACCCAGGGCTCCTCTCCACCCGCTTATGGTAATTCCAGGTCATGGCAGGGAGTGGAAATTTGGCCATGACAGGATGGAAACAGAGAAGTTTCCTCTCTCTGCATCTGCACAAGTCTTTTCTATGATTCGTGCCAGACACTAATTCAGTTTCCTCTTCACATCGCTTTTATTTGTTTCTTTCCAATAAATTCATCTTATCTCTTTGCTGAGAATCTGGAACCCACAAAATGCGATAGCCCAACCAGCAAATGCTAAAGATCCCTACAAAAAAGCAAGCTGTTCTCTTTTTCCTACTCCCCTTACTAAAAATATCGTAATCACCGTCCTCAGGTGTCAGCATTTCACCACCAGAGCTAGATAAGCCCAAACCACCCCCACCCCGCCTCCGTTCAGCGCCTGCCCGGCAGCCTCCGTTCCCCGAGGCACAAGGTGAGCGCCCCGCTCGCAGCGCGAGGCCTGGCGCCCCTGCTCACATGGTTGTAGAGCTTCTTGCCAAAGGCCTCCCGCTCTGCCGCGCGCTTGCACAGGATCTCCAGGGCGGCCTCGGCGGCGCCAATCGTCCTCATGCAGTGGTGAATGCGGCCCGGCCCAAGGCGACCCTGAGCTATCTCGAACCCTCTTCCTTCACCTGGGTGAAAAGGAAAACGCGTGCGCCGATCACCCCATTCTTGCCTGAACTGATCCGTGGCTCAGAAGAGAAGTGGCCACACTGCCACGCAGCTGGACGCCAGCTTTTTATAAGTAAGTTGCTTGTGCAGGACTGTTTGTTTACTTCAGCTAGATCCATGCTGGCACACTGTTAATGCTAGTCACAGCATGCTAAGCTGGTTTCTGAGAGGGTTTGATATATTTAACTAAAAAATTACTAATCTTACATTGAAAAAATACATTTATGAGATTTGGCATGAGGATCTGAGAGAAAGAATTGAGGTTTCCAGATCTAATGTCTATTCGAGCAAGAAGATTCTCTAAGGAAAGAAAGATAGCTGGGAGGAAACTATGTAAACCCTGGCTTCCCTAGGAGCAAGTAGAGCAAAGTTCTCCGTGCACAAAGTTACAAGGGCTGCCTGCTCCTTTTTTGCCTTTTTTCTTTTTCTCCAGTGCTGTAAGTCTGCAGGCACGCAGGCTAGTGCAGCTCCAGGCTACCACAGAACCCTGGCTCTTAAACAGTCAAATCCATGAAAACTGTGTTTAGGGCAAGAATATCACCAACCCTCTCTGCTTTGCTTCAGGGAAAAGAGTTGTAGTGTGGTAGCTAACGCTGTCCCACCCCTGGCTCAGCCAGGCTTGGCTCATCTTACCTAAAGGATCCCCTACTAGGTATCTGCAATAACTTATGGTGACTTATAAAACAAATCAGTGTTTCTTAAAATTTCTGTCATCCATTATACGTACACAAAGGCATTAATACTGAAACTCACCTAGTATTATATTAGACACAGGTACTCGCACATCAGTGAAGTGTACCTCAAAATGTCCTCCGTGGAGCTCATCTACAGATACACAGAAAACACAACAGAGGGTAAAACAAAGGAGGCTGGTACATGCATTAAAAAAAAAAAAGGCAAAAAAGAAAAAAGAAAAAAAGCCTTTTGATTCATATCCCTTTTTCTATACATGCATTTTCCTGGCCTATTTCATACTGAGCATTTGTTAGTACTACTGCAGCTCCTGAGTTGATTGCTGCCAAATCAACACAAACCCAGCTGATAAACCTGGTCTGCTCACCCAGGTAACCAAACAGTGAGAGGGGTCTTATCAGCTTCACGCCTGGACTGTCCATAGGAACAAGGACCATGCTGTGCTGCTTGTGCCTGGTGGAAACAAGAGCAAAAAGTTCTCATCGATTCCATCAGCTTTGGCCACTTGGCCAGACCACCACCACCACGTTCACTTTTTAGCTTATAGTCCCCACTTAGCATTTGCCTAAAGCAATGGTTGGATTTGCCTAGACTGACTGCAGTGGTCCAGCTCGCTGGCAGTGGGGCACACATCCCACAGTGCTCCCTGAGCCCCCCATAAAAAATCAGTATCACATAATGCCTGCCACGAACTTCGGTTCATCTTCCAGAAGCTCAGCAGCCACCTCTGCCCGTACAGCACTGGGCAAACAGGCTGCAGAGTCAAAGAAAGCTGTGACTGCTCCCGGGCAAATCCAAACTTAAGATTTCTCAGCAGAATCTGGGCTCACATCCAACTAAGAGGCATGACTGTTTCCAACTTTATGCAGCAGGAGCTGCTCAATTTCAGCGAAACCCGTCATAAAGCAAACTACTCATCACAGACCCAAGGGCTGATAAGAGGCGATTTTAGTTTTGTACTAAGCTCAACATCAGATGACTTAGTGTTTCTTTTAAACATCAAGAGGGAAGTGTTACATTTACATATACAGGAATGTGAATGATTAGGCTGATGAAAGACACTTTTTTATTCTCTCCGCTCTTGTAATTCCGAGGTATGTATAACACGTTACAAGTCCTATTTCATGCTGATTTTCCTACCTGCAGATAATTTTGTGAAAAATTCAGTACATAACTTCAGGTCTCAGATACAGCACTTATATTCGATCTGTTCAGGAACACTCTAAAAAGGCTTGCTTTTATTATCCCCTTCACAACCAGTTTAAGCTGGCACAAGCCTACACTGCCAGCAAAGGAAGTTTTCCCACCCTCCTGTGGGTCGGAGAAGTGATCCAGATGAGAATAAGTGTGGCCAAGGTGAAGGCAGTGAACCCCAAATTTTCCTGATTCGATTCATCAGGCGGCTGCACAAACACTTGAGCTGGTGTGTGGCAGAGAAAAACCCACGGATGCAGCTTAGTGACAGTGAGAAGGTTGGGAGGCTTCAGTCAACAGTAAAATGGGAGCTTGGTCAGACACATTTTTCTCTAAACAAACACATCACAGAGGGTTAAAAATTTCCCTGTAAATCAAAACCACATCAAACAGATCAAAGCAACTAATACTATTCCACTTAAAGAAGTTTTTGTAAACTTCTTTGCAAAGGAAAGTTGAGTAAGTCTTTAAATAGCCTAGATAACCATACCTGGATGCTGAGGAATTTGGGGTTCTGCCCATTACAATTGCAATCTTGCAATTTGGATTTGCAGCACCTAAAAAGAAAAAAAAATCCAATATAAAAAATCCAAGTGGAAGCATTAAGGTTCATATTAGTAGATTGCACGCTATTCCTTTTCCACTGGAGGAGCAGAAGGCTACAGTACGTTTCTATGTTTACACACTGAGCAATCAGGCTGATACATCTTATTGCTTAACAGGCTGAAGAGAGTTGACTTGCAGGAGGTGAACACTCAGAAGCCAAAAATCCAAGCCCTCCAGGATCTGGCTCCATTTCTATTCCTACTAAAGGAGGACAAGAAGGTACTTGAAAAGGAATCCACTTATCTCTGCTTCCCCCCAAATAATAAGCAAATAGGTGTGAAATAACAGCACACATGAAGGTTAGATGCTAAACTTCAAAAGCAAAGCTTCTTAAAGCTATAAAGGCGAGAGCATCTATGCAGGAATGAAATGTTGACCACATTATAGCCACCAAATCCAGCAAATTAGCCTGGCATAAGAGTTTCCATGACTACTTGGCTACTATTTCAGCCAACTTCTCTGGATGAAGGGGTTTTCCCCTCTTTATACGAATGATTCGAGTTCACACTTCAAACAAAAATCTCAGTGGAAATTGTTATCCGAAAATTATCTGCTGACATCCCAACCCACTGACGACATCATTTGATACATGTTTTTGTAGCACGAAAGCTAGAAGTTCAATAGAAAAGTCTAAAAGAAGATTCTACCATAGTTTAAACTGCACCATATTTCTAAGACAACTTAATCCTCACCATTTAATTTTTTCTTTAAAAGTTTCTTAGCAAAAAGTAAGGTTCCGACTCCTTTCAGTATCTCACAGAGACAACAAAGCCGGGGGAAAGATGGCAGGATTATACTTGACATATGTGACAACCAACAAAATTCCTGGTGCTGGCGGCTACCCCAATAAAGATGATATGCTTTGAAAAGAGAATTCAAGGCCTGCTCTCCACCCACGTCGCTGGCGTTGATGTCAGAAGCAAAGCTAACTATTTAAGTCCTCAGGCTGCTCCTGTCACAAGGTTTGGGAGCCTCTGGTGCACAAGGTGCAGCAGGCGGCTCTGAGATGAGTGGCTTCTGCACGAGAACGGCCCCCTGACAGCTTGGAGGGCAACCACGGCAGGAACTGCATTTATCTCAATCTGACAAACGTGCCAGTTTTGAGGTCCAGACTACTGGTTGTTTATTTGCCTCTTCTGCAATATGCTGTTCATAAGTGGCTTTAAAAGCAGGGGTTTTTGTGGCATGAACCCCCTAAGTTGCACAGCACTAATGAGCTAAAATAGATGAGTGAAAATTGAGCGGGGGAAAATGGAATCAGACCATTAAGAAAAACGGGTATCTCAAAGAGATGTCCCAGTTGGGAAGCTAGCGGAAGCAGGTGACCAACTGAAAAATAAAACAGTGGCTGTCTTACAGTAAACTCTCCTGCAAAGAGAAATACTACACTCTTAAGAGCTCTGTGACTTTTCTCCTTCTCCACAGCCGGTAAAGAATTGCACAAGTGACATTTTCTAAATCACATTCACCTTGAAATGAGGCTTACAGCAAGCGATGTTTTGACTTTCTGTGATGACTGCTTAAGCAGTTCTATAAACTGTCCTCAAGTTACATCCCTGCCTCAAAAACAACCCCCCAAAAGACAGAAGAATTTCACCACATTGTTTGAAAGAAAAAAAAACAAAAATCAGAAGAAGCTTTTATGTTGAACCTAGAGAAGAGTTCACAATGAGCTGGACATCTGGTCAGAACTCCTAGATCACCCGTACAAATAATTTCTTGGAAGGCAAATGAGTAATTCAGTTTCCTATGTATTTTTTCCCATCTGAACACACCAAATGGCTTCCTGGCCTTTCCACTCCTTAGGGCCCAAAGCGCTGAAAACACCAAATAAATTTTACCCAACACTGATCATAAATGCTAGAGACAACTTCTCATCTCAGGCAAGACTCTGGCAGGCTCCAATGCTTTGGAACAAATGCAGAAGGCCTGAATTAAATAAAGCTCTCATTTGTAAGTGACATTTTTATTTTATTTACAGGAATCAAAGAAGCTGTAGGAGGACAAGGGGAAGAGTAGGAAAAAACCTGTCATTTTTGCAAGAATTGAAAGCAGCTTGGCCAGAAACTCAAAATTCAACAAATAGAGCAGAGATTTTAGAAGGTCGGTTTTAATCATATATTAGCAAGCTTTTGTATAAACATTTATGGAGTTGCCTTCCTCCAGCATGCCCGCAGGGCCTCCTAGCCACTGATGGCACAAGTACGTTCCCCCAGGCATGGCATACGTGTATTTTTTGGGAGTCTTCTCAATCCTGCCCGCACTTTTCTAGCCTTGCTGGGCACCATGAGCTGAAGAACTGCAAGATACGCTCTGGTTTCAAAGAGACAGCCGAGGCCTCTAAGCAGTGACACTCCTTGCAAGAAGCAGGGCCCCAGGTCACCAAAATGTCCTTATCTGCTATTGCAAAGAACACAGGTGCTGTGATAACTCAGGATGAAAGCAATACAGAAACATGCATGATTCTGAGATGCACTTTCCACAGCCTCTATTTCTTTTCCCAACCTATTTTGCGTTCCTTTTGGGAATTCAAATGCAGCTAGAAGCACTGGCAAACACCTGCCTGCTGCACTCTTAGTGGCTCATTTGGAAATTCTTTCCCAAATTCTAAAACTGTTTAAGCACAGATGCAGCTAGTCCAGCTGTAGCAGGTCCAATCTTTCAGTCAGCGTGCCAAGAGCAAAACCTGACCCAAAATCTGCCCCAAACATCTATTATTTGGTATCAATATTGCATTTAGTGAAACTCAAGGGGCTGCTGCTACAGGATACAGGAAAATCCATACAGAACAAAGTCCTTAGAAGGCTATGGGAGGCCCCGATACCCTCCACACACAAGAAAACAATTTGATGCTGAGCAGGCTGTTCTAACTTGAGCAATTTACAGTCATTTTAGGAATTCTTAGTATGAGAGTTCATTCCTCAGTGTAGAGATAACACTGTCTGCATGTCATCACAGAACTTTTCCATCTTCCCTTTCCTGTAATGGTATCAGCTTTTTATAAGCTAGAGAGCACTCTGCAAAGGGAAGGAAAACTGCAAATGGAAGGAACGGTATCTTTCTGATTTTCCTCTTGCCTCCCTGCGTTGCGTGCAGGGCCTGTACAAATACTATCAAACACACGCTTGAACTGTGAACCCGCTCTAAGGCTGCAGGACTATCTGCTCCAGCTGTGGTTAAACACTTGCCACTTGCTTATGTCTCTTCCCTCCCAAATCCCCAATTTGTTCACCATCACACAGCCACATAAAAAAGAGCCCCAATCCTTTCAAATCACGCAAAAACCAAAGCATATCCTTCTATTACACCCTGCTAAAGAGTTATTTAAAATAAGGATCCCTTGAAACCCTGTACAGGCAACCACCAAAACTGCAGTACTGCCAGGATGTAAATATATACTGATTTTTCATTGGTGACTCTGCCCCAAGCTGACCGTTTCCCTCCTTTACATGTTCTCAGTGTGTGATTTGTTAAAAAGCTTTCGATTTTGCACAAAATGTTTGCTCTTTCAGGTAAAAACAAGCTATTAGCTAGTGAAATAGTAAGTGAGCCTTGCAGCCCAGCTGGAGCTGGGAGGAAGGCAGGAAACCTGTGTTCACACTGAGAAGGGCTTTCAAAAAGGCAGGACTTACTGTTTTTTTAGTGGCAAGACAAAATGAAAGTGCAACTGCCTTCCAGATGAGGGTGTGGTGCTGGAAAACAAAGTGTAGCGTGCCAGACCCTCTCAGATCATTGCACTGAAGCACATCTCAACTGCAGTACCAGCTACCGGCTGCTGACAAAGAAGGTTAGTTTCCTTTTAGTCTTTACTAATCTGCATTTATTATGATATATTGACTTTAAGTAGAAAAGGTAGGATTTGCTCTTACTAGAAGTTACAAAAGTTGGCTTAACAGAGAATTGACATTTCACTAAAGTACCTGTTTATTTCAAGTTTTAAAACTAATTTGTTAAATAGAAGAGCGGGTTACTGATCGATTCATTCCAAAGGAAAAAAATCTGTTTAAGCTACTAATATTAACAGGATTCGACATCTATTCATGCAATCCCACATCAAATCCAAACCCACTGAAAAACTGAATTTGTATGTAAGCAGAAAGCTGGTAATTCCTGGAGTAATTCTGCCAAAAAAAAAAGTGCAAAAAAATACAAAAAAAAAAAAAAAAGCTGTCTATTAGTAAGTCTCCTAGAAAACAGGTGTGTATCAGAATGCATTGAAATGACAAATATGAACAGAAAGGGTAGCCAAAACATGACTATATTATTTTGAGAGAAATAGCAACTGTTAAGGGTTTGTTCCTGCCAAGAATTCGGATCTGCCAAAATCAGAGCGAGGCAGTGGAGCAGGCTCCCTGGTGCTGCCAGACTGCTTTGTGGCACTCAGACTTCTTGAAGTTTGCACCAAAAAGTCTGTTCAAGGCTTTGCTTTCAAATATATCTGCCAGTGATCCAATTTAATTAAACATTCCCAGATGGGTTTTATAATAAGTGCTTACAGCACAGCCAAATCTTTTCCAATTAACTTTTAATTTGCTTCTAATCTTGATTAAATGGTTTAAACTCTCTGTACTGCAGTTTCTCTTCTGGTGAGGAAGGAACATTTGCCTCTGTACGTTTGAATCTGTGCTAGGAAACTACTGCTAACCTCTGCTAAAAATCCTGCTAACCTGGGCTGTTGGGCATGGAAGGCACACGTTATGAAAACAAGGAATAAAATTAATTCCTTTTCTATTCTGCACACCAAAAATATTTCATGCAAAAATAAGTGTCAAATGACAGGAGTCAAAACATACTTACTGTTTAAAGTTAAGTGGAAAGTGTTTGGAAATCTTAACGTGAAAGTCCAACAAAGTCAGTAAGGATCAAAACCAAGCCAAAGAGTTCATTTCTAACTAGCATGTGTTTTTAAATTTAGAAGGATGACTCACTGAAAACAAATACATAAATATCAACCAAGGATGAAAGTTATTCATTCTTTCCAAGTATTTGGTCTGTATCCCTGGGTATGAGATCAATAAGTTATTTGTACTAATAGATGGAAAACACTTGGAAAATATTTTTAAAGAGCTACTGGATTTATAAAGGTTCAGCAACCCTTCATTTAAAACTTTGTTTAAAAAAACAGAAATAGGATTTGAATTTTTTTCAAATTTGAATATGCCAAATTGTAGCTCTGGGCAGAATCTCAGAATTTGTTTTCAATACTACTGGCCTCAGAATCTGAAGCTCTCCTGAAGACGTGAGACAAATCTGTTTTTCATTTTCAGCAGCTTTATGCCACTGTTGCTGAGCAATCTTAATCCCACTTTATTTCAAGAAAATGAGGTACTGCAGAACTCGAGTTTTCAGCAGTTTTCAGTAAATTAAGACATATATAATTACAGGAAGAAAAGAATATACTGCAGGGGACAGCCTGGCTCAGATTCAGTCTGAAGATAAGAATACTTAAATTTCACCCTTAAGCAGACATTGGGAACATAACCTTAGTTTTTGGTAACACTAAGTCATGTCATGAGATGAACTTGAAAAAACAGCTGAGGTTCTGAGCTGCTTGGGAATCTGTGGGTAGTTGTGTACACGATAAGATTCCTTTCCATACATAACACGCTGAGAAGTTTCCAGCCACGGGACTCAGCGCACCCACGTTACGGTGATTCTGTAAGAAATCCCACTCGGACACAAAGCCAGGCGCTGCGGGGGACGGAGCCTAAACAGAGTAATTCAGTTCCGCTGCTGACTCCACTAGCCAGGTGGCTGATTCCACCAGGCAGCTTTAAGTGACCAGTCCGTATGGGTGTGCCTGAGGAACAAAGCAGCACGCTCTCCCTCTACTGTAGTCGCATCCTGCACTTGCCAAAATACATGAGTAGGCACTAAATGCTACTACTTTCCTCTCAGCTTTAAACTGTTGGTGCTCCTTATCCACTATACGGTGTTAAGAATCAGAGCCTTTAACCAGAACTGCTTTGCTTTACTGAGGCTGTATAGAGGAAGAAAAAGAAACTGCGCAGACAAATTAATTTTGCAAGAGAATTTGCTCATACACAACAGAGTCAGAGCAGTTTAAGCACTGATGGTTCCTGGGCTGCAATGTGGCAACCAGCGAGGTGCCCTCCAAGCCTCTTGCAGCCTTGAGCGCCGCGGGGAACGCAGGCATCTCAAGTGAATCCGTGTTACCTGGTGTTGCCCCGATTATGCTCTGTCACCCATTTCACGGGAGCAGCCAAGACCTGGTCTGTTCTGCCTCTGTCACTGTTTAGCTCTGTACTAGCTCTAGTACTTTGACTATTTGCAAATGCATTCCTCATATCAAACTTGCTGGAATTGGAGATTTATAAGCAATTCTGAGACAGAAACGTAGGTTTCAACAGAAACTTTAAAGCTCGAAAGTTGCACTTTTTTTTGTCTTGCAGCCACGGCTGAGCTATGAACAACTCAAGTGATTACTGGATTGAGGATGAGGGTGATCTCAACTCTGTGATAGATTACAACGCATATGAGCTGCTTTGTGAAAAGGATGATGTAAGGAATTTCAGTAAATTATTCCTCCCTGTGTTCTATGCATTAGCCTTCACCATTGGAGTTGCTGGAAATTCGTTAGTGGTAGCAATTTATGCCTACTGCAAGAAACCAAAGACTAACACGGCTGTGTACATCATGCATTTGGCCATTGCTGATTTGCTCCTGCTCTTCACTCTCCCATTTTGGGCTGCAAATGCCGTGCAGGGCTGGGAGCTTGGAAGCGCAATGTGCAAGCTCGCGTCTTCCTTGTACACCATGAATTTCAGCTCTGGCATGCTGTTCCTGGCCTGCATCAGTGTGGATAGATACAGGGCCATCTCCAAACCCCAAGGGCAGAGAAGAGCTGGAAAACAGTGCAGTATAACCTGCATCTGGGTCTGGCTGGCTGCTGTCGTTCTCAGCATCCCTGAACTGATATTTAACCAGGTGAAGAAATACAATGAGAGGAATGAATGTCTTCCTGTATTTCCAGTGAACATGGAAACACTCTTAAAAGCAACCATTCAAATCCTGGAAATTATCCTGGAATTTCTGCTTCCTTTCCTAGTTATGCTGACCTGCTACTCAGCTACTGCTAGAGCCATCTTCAAATCTCCAAATACTAAAAAATCTAGACCCTTCATAGTTCTGTTGGCAGTGGTGGCCACTTTTATTACCACCCAGCTGCCTTACAACATTGTTAAGTTGTGGCGAGCCATAGATATCATCTACCTGTTGATCACCGACTGTCATGCCAGTAAAGTGATAGATGTTGCACTCCAGGTAAGCAAGAGCATCGCTTTGTTCCATGCCTGCCTGAATCCTCTTCTGTATGTCTTCCTGGGAGCCTCGTTTAAAACACATATTTTGAAAATAGCAAAAACATACGGATACAGGAGGAGACAACAACAGAATGGAATAACTGAAGAGATTTCTATGAATTATGAAGACCATACAGAAGAAACAGTTAGCTTCACTATATAGACAGCCAATTACTTTCATTATCTTACATAACAAAGGAACTATTCACTAATTAAGGGGTATGGTTTCCACATCTGCTTTGCAATTCAACTTTCAAATGAATTTCTAGATCTACAAACTAACCCAAACACTACAATGCAGTTCAAAATGGAACATGTTGATCAAAAGCAAGCAGCAGGCAAGAACTGTTATACTGAAAGTGCTAGAAACCAATGCAGATAGTGAGGTTAAAAAAAGATTTTAGAGAGTCACAGCTTTTATATAGCTGAGTAATCAACAATCTATCCATGCCTAGAATGGAAAAAGAAACCAACAGCAATAAAGCCACAGTACAGGAACTTATATACCAAAAGTTATATTTTCACGCCTTTCAAATGTAACCTTGTAAATGTGTTTCTGTATTTTGTAACAGCTTGGAACATTTTCCTAAAAAATAATTTCCATGTTTTTCGCTAACTATCATCCCATAGATAACCCTTGCAGCAATGAATGAAATGAGGAATCAGTTCACAGCAGAGATTTAAATTGGGAGGAAAAAAGCAATTGCATGTTTCCATACATATATATATATGTATATATACATAAACAACAACATCTTCCATGAAAACCAACAACTCCTTCTCTGGAAGTATCTAAAATCACCTTTCACCTCTTTCTTTCATTTGCTGCTCACTCTGGACTTAAGCAAGTTCAGGGGCCAGTGATAGCCACATTCCAGTTCTCTGGTTCCAATTCTAGATTCCCAAGAAATGATTATCATTCTTGTCATTTCCTAAGAAACGGCTCTGCTTTCCTCTTATGCCCAAAAAGTCCTTGGGCAACAACTATCAGGGCCACCAAGGCCTGGCCTTATATTTTGCTGCGATCGCATATCTTAATTTTGATCTACTAGAAAAATACAGACTTTTGTATGTACCTTTATTGCATGTCTGTAGCTTTTACAGGAGTAGTGGGGGCTCTGAACTTTTATACCTAGCTCAAAGAACTCACATCACTGGCTGAAAGAGGAGGATAAACTATATGCAGTAGGGCCAGATGCAGACAGCTATAGTCCTTAAAGAAGAAACTAATGATAGAGAAACACTCACCTGTGAAAGCAAGAAGGGTGGGTGGGTGTGTGTGTGGGGGGTGTATATATACACACAAAACCTACCTATTTCTCCCATCATTTTTTACTGTCTTTGCTCTGCCCAAGGTTCTAGCAACTGCTTATATTCCAAGAGCCGTTCATTCTGAGCAGACATAAAACTTCGACTATGTCCCTGGATGGCACCATGTGGAGATTTGTCTTTGTAAATGTCAAAATAGCATAAAGTATTAGCAAGAACGTAAGAAAACAGTTTAAGCTAATCTTCTGACTCAGGACCTGGAATTTCTAGTAGGAATTTGTAAAATGAACCAGATATTGCAATAATTATAATCTTCCAAAATAAAGTATGTGAAGACATAATAAAATGTAAATATATATGAAGAGTGAGTTGGCTCCTGTTTTGTGTGTCTCATTACCTCTGCTTTGTTTTAGTACATATTGACATCTCTCATCAGAAAGGCCAGAGCTCTTGCTTCATGAATGAGGAAGGCTCTGACTCCTTGTGGAGCTCACGCTTGATGGCATTTGCGGTCCTTCATAGAGGGATACCAAAGCTACCCCTGCCCAGCACTGGCCGGGATTCCAGGGAAGCAGCAATTTTTCATGGATTGCAGGAGTCATTCCAAATGCATTGATACATTAGCTTTCAAAATTTAAGAGTAGTGTTACGCCACACTGCCCCACATCATCTGCTGCTTATGAAAGCCAGCAAGAGTATCTCATTCTTGGGGACTTCTCCAAGTTACACAGTTATAGGCTTGAAGAAGAAGTTCCAAAATAATAGACAAGGAACAACACTAGCATAAACAAGCCTCTTCTCTCTCTCCTTTGGATGGCAGGAACTTACAGAATTTCTGTCCAGTATTTTGCAGAAGCACAACAGTGTGAACTGTAGAGTCAGAAGTGTTTGACAGATGTGCTACACAGATGGTCGGCTCAGACACTGCAAATCTGACATGTTTAAGCCATAGCATATTTACTGAGCAACGGAGTACCCGTGCAGAGCAGAAGAAGAGAATGACTTTCTGCATGTGTGAGTTGTGACAACTAGTGGTTGCTCCTGGGGTGACATAGTGACCAGCCTATCAGGCTTCTGGAGTTCCCAGACAAACAGCCAAGGTCCTCAAGATTCGCTCAGGCAGAAAACCAAAACCAAATCCACCACTAACCAGACAAAAGAAAAGGCAGAAAAGGAGGCTCCGACTGCAACACAGTCACATGTTTGTGCCTTTTGCATGTCTGTCTTCATACAAATCTGACTGTCCTAATTATTTTATTAGATATAACACAAGCCAAATCACACTCTCTTATGTTTGTTCTCTCCCTTCTTTATAATTCACATAATTTATTTTATGAGCAATATCTTTTGTGTGTGACCTCCTACAAACTCTCCCACCAGCCCCTTGGGGACTGCGATGTGCACTTGGGAGACGCTGCCCCAGAGCAAGGGGAAACAGCTTTTCACAGATTCACAGGGAAACAGATGAAGAGACAAGAGGCTCATATCCTGCCCCTCTAGCCTCCAGCTCTGAAGCACCAGAAAGGAGATGAAGAGCCCTCTCTCCTGGTGAGCCTGAGTACTGCACAAGCATAGCAGAGTATGCAGCTTCCCCAAACAAAGATAAAGAAATAAAACATCCAAGTTGATCTTGGAACTCAGATATTTTTTGTTTTATCAATTCTAAGAAAGAAAAGTAGACTCAGCCAGTCTTTAGATTTTCTATGCTTACCACTGCTCCACCACTTCTTGCCATTAATCACGTAGCTGTCTCCATCTCGCTCAATGCTGCATTGCATATTGGTGGCATCACTTGAAGCTACATCAGGTTCTGTGTTAAAAAAAAGAAGGATATAGGTGGCACTATCACCACAAATACAGGGATCTACATATATTGCACACACACTATGTTGCTCCCAGTGGAAAAGCTGTTTCAGAAGCTCATTGCATGTGGTCAGAGGCAATCCATTTTCCTGTGATATTTTATTCATAGGCAGTTTAAGCTGACATGTTCTTGGGCCCAAACTACCCTTTGTACACATCCCTTCCAGACATTTTTAAATCCTTCCCCTTTCCAGCGTACTATTTATAGATAATAGTCACATCTCTTCTCAGTCTTTTTCTAGGTTGCTCTCAAGTGAAAGGGGTTTAAACCACTTTTTGATGGAACTTGACTACTTTATGAAATAGGTTACATCAGTTGTCAGCACTGTCACCAATGATCTTAAACAGAAAAAAAAATCATTCTTTCTCCTTTCACATTAAACTTTTTTGTTAGGATATCTTCTCTCAAGTAAAAGCACCTTTTTACTCTTGGAAAAGAGAACGAAACAGAAAAGACAAAGTAAGGGTCCAACTCTAAGACCGAGGTCTCTCAACTCCTGCTGAGACAGGAAGGACAAAATTTTTGACATCACACATGTTACCTTCCTATATCAAAAATCAAGCTTTTCAGAGGTGCTGAAGGCCACGAGATTCCAAGAGTAAAAAAGTATATAATGCTGAGACATAAAGGAAGTATATCATGTGTTTCAATAGTTATTTTTAGAGTTAAGCCTCCAAAACTCCAATTATGACATGATAACTATGCAACTTTAACCACAATCGTCAGGCTTGTACAACGAACCAGTGTATTTCACTGGTACACAAAATAAATTGAAAATACGTGGAAAGCAAATGCTAGTGAGAAATGGCAACTAATCAGACAGGCAGCTCTGAAAGTAGAGCAAGAGTGCCTAACTTTGCACTCATACTTCAGATGCCTCCATATTCACACTCAGAAACCCAGTGGAACTATCTGCACTAAGTGATTAACACATAACAACTGTGTTATTTCATAAGCTTTTGTGACAGTTGTGCCAGTTGCCTATAAATCTCTTCTGAAGAGAAATTTACCTGTCATGCAGAAGCAAGAACTAATCTTCCCTTCAAGGAGAGGCTCAAGCCACTTCTTCTTTTGCTCTTCAGTTCCATACATGTGCAGGACCTCCATGTTTCCAGTGTCTGTAGGAAATCAGCAAACAAATTTACTCTTGATACACACAACTGGTAAGGCTTAAGCTGCCCACCTTTCTACCATTCTCAGTACTGTAGTTAAGGCATGGGGTTTGCTAACCAGGCGCGTGACAGTTGAAAACTTCAGGGGCAAAGAAACATTTCCCAGTCTCTTCAGCTATTAACGCGTAGTCAAGCTGGCTGAGACCACTGATAGCTGGGAGAAAAAGGTTCCACAGCCCTTCTGCTTTCGCCATTTCCTGTTGAAAGAATCAAAGGAAAAGGACACTCACAATAAGCCTTCACCCTGCAGTGAAGTTTTGCCTGCCATCCATCTTTTTCCTTCCTGCCTAGCACAGTCCAATACATCTGACCTTTTATTTTTTTTCCAAATAGTTATTTTCAACAGATACAGTCTTTGAGCTAAAGTTTAGATATAAGCAGAACTCACTTTTGCTGATCTCATCTTTTATTTTTACCTCTCATCTCCTCTTACATGCTTCCCTTGCTTACTTCTTTCTCTCCTTTCACTGTTCTTCACTGCTCCATGAAGTCAGAGTAGCTTCTCCAACAGCAAACTTTTCTACTCTCCGTGTCACTGCCTTAGTTTCTTTTATCGCTAAGTGATCAAGAATATTATTGAATACCTTCAGTTTCTCAAGCAGTGGTGGTTTCTTCCATTTTTCCTCACTTCTTCCATGTTCAGCAATATATTTTAGCATTTTCTTAAAGAAAAACCAAAAAGTTGCTGTTTAAATAAATAATTATATTTAACATACACACAAGATTATATGGTTTGTTTCCCAGTCTTATACTTAAGAAACTATTAAAATTATTCAGTATATCTTTCTGTCATATACTCATTAATATTATACACCAATTCAAAAATCAAACCACAATCTATTTTACAAGACATCAAACGCATCATAGAGATGACTAAAATCAGTACATTTCACACATGAAAATGGCTTACAGTGATTTAAAACATGTGATGATAATAGTAGAAGATACAATGGCTTCTAAAGATACAAGTTACTAGTATCAACTGGGAGAAATAAATCTGAAAGCCAAGTAACAGATAAAGCTTAGTCTGAGGTACTGGCACTTAACATACAGATTTCCCATCACAACACTCAGATATACAGGCTAGTTAATTATTTTTAACAGAGCAAAACCACAAAGAATGCAAGTTTTCTTCTGTCAAAATAATTTATTGAGTAGTATTTTCACAAGTATATTTTAGTGAGGCACAGGACTTCAAAGTTGGTCCCAGTACTAGTTTTACAATTTAAAAAACACTCCCTTCTCCATACCTATATTCTTCTTCTTCTGCAAACATGGCAATGACACTGAACTGTAATCCTAAACTTCAATTCCAGGTACATATTTTTTGTGTGCTGATTTTATGAAAGTATTCGATCTCCTTTATTCAGGGATTTCAGGTCATCTTTTCACACAGCTTTGCTGTGAAAAAAATAGCATGCTAGCCACACGGAAAGATTAAATGACTTTTCTAAAAACTCTACAACAAGGGAATTCCAGAATTAGAGCCTAGAAGAGCTGATTTGCAAGCCTGCACCATTGACTGAAATAACTTACAAAGACATGGCTCTTCATTACAGAACTTGCATGATATTTGTGGTTCATTTGCTTGTTTTTAAAGCAAGTACACCTAATTACTTAAAAGGTTTCCTTCCAGAACAATCCCGAACTAGTTACAGACAGACTTTTAATAAACTTTGGATACCAAGAAAGCTTTGGATACATCATGGGAAATCCTTTGTGGCATGCAGGCATATTCATAGGTCATTTAGATTGATGTGTTCTCTATACTTCCGCCTGAATGGAAAACCACCGCCACCCTCAAAGAAACACTGAATTCGGCAACGTCACCTGTGCTTCCACTAGGTTAAAAATTAAATTAACTTTCCAAATAAATCATTTTTAACATTTCCCTAGATGAACATGTAAAGAAGTGAGCGTCATCTCATTTTTCCTTTCTCCAGTTATATATTTCTGTTTTCAGATCTCTGATTTCAGATCTTCACTGGTATTATTATACCTAGGAATGAGGCCACACTGATATGTTATGGAATCATGTTCAATATTATACAAATAATACCTTTATAAATAAAAGAAGGGCAACAAACAGAAGCATTCGACACTGCATGGCTAAAAGCAGTAGTTTCCTTTCTGAACTGACAACCCAAAGTATATTTCTTTGACACAAATAAAAAAGCCAAAACTCTAATATTTTAAAAATACGAGATCTAGAGTCATACCAAAAAAGGCAATATGCAATCACAGAAATTATGCAACAATACTTTACAGAGCATTGCATTATCTTTCCACAACAACAACAACAACTCAGGATACTTGCAGCAAGTGAAACCAAAAGCAAAAAAGAAAATCCTCTCCCATCATAAACTGAATTAAGAGTAAGAGAAAAATCAGGGGAATGACACACTTGTCCACATTCTAGTGGAAGATGACTCTCTTTCTCCAACTTAATTACTACATTTCTATCAAGAAATCTGATAGCCATGGTGTGCTGCAGCGTGCTGCAACGAGCACAGAAACAGCAGCAGACACAAGGCAATACTCAGTATACTGAGGCTGTCCTGTGAAACTGCTTTCTGGCTACTCAGTTTCTGAACAAGAGAAAGGAAGGTGTGTAATACACTCATAAAAAAAATGACAGTTCTGGTGTGTATGATAACATACCAGAATTCACAGAAGTAGTACGTTCAATAAAGGTTCCCAGATTATAAATGGATTAAAAAAAGAGAAAAAGAAAAGGAAAAAAAAAAAGAACAAATATTTCATAGAAGCTAAGCATCCTAACCACACTGACATTCTAAATCAATTAAAATAAAAGGAACACTAAAAGCTTTTACCTTCTCTGCTGGGTATATGTGCTGTGCCATGAACTGCTTTACCTTCAGCAGAATTTCTTTGCCTTTGCTGCTTTGATGGAAGTCTCCTGAAATTCTGTGATCTGCTTTGCTGCTGAAAGATGATCTAAAGAAGAATATCCAATAGATTAAGAAATACCACCAAACTTCCACTGATAGCAATATAAGCTGCCTAATATGAGCATTAAAATAAGTGAAGGAGTTGCAAGCACTTACTTGACCTTATGCCAGGAGTTTCGATCTCCTACCTTTTTGAGAGCTCTAACCCTCTCTCTGCCAAAGGCTTCACTATCTCAGCAAATTCATGACTATTCTCTGCAGAAGCATTTCCAAGGAGATATCTAGCATATATGCCCTGAAAACAAAAGGAAAGGCATCTGTGGTACAACCAGGTACTTCAAATTGTCTCTCTCCCAGATAGCTGATTTCTTCTGCTAGGTAACTAGAACTTAAATGCACATAGTAAGAAATACATTAGCAGCCAATGTAGTTTTATGACTTACAAGCTCAACTTACTGAGATATGATAGTATTGCTTCTGGTCCACATCTGATATAATAGAAAGGCTCAACTCTCCTAAACTAAACTAAAGGAAATCCCACAAGAACCAAAAGAGCAAATAAAGATTATGTTTGTACATGGTACTGCAAGCAAGCCCAGCCTGTCCTTAAGCTGACTGACACCAGTATACATATATGCTTATTATCCACAGCTACACGAACTGCCCACACATACACTCTAATCACACATTAACATTAGGAAGTTTATGTCACGTTGATTAAGGTGGGATTTGGACTGCCAGCACACTGACACATCAATCCCCAAAATATCCAAACCTCTCATTTTTATTCTCCTTTACCTTACTCTCTTAAGAATTTAGCTACATCTGAGACAAGGCTAAGCTGGGATCTGATTTTTATTCTCCTTTAGCTTACTCTCCTAAGAATTTAGCTACATCTGAGACAAGGTAATTCTTGCAATAGGAACTTCACCCTAGAGAGTCACCAGTCATAACCACCTAAGATACTGCTTCTAAAGGGACAAACCGGAGTACAATGTTTTCAGCTATTTTTAAAACACAATTCATAATCTGAAGAAATATTATCAATATACAAATACTCATAATAAAAACACACAGCATTTCAGAAATATCAGTGAACGTATTACCTGGAATATTCCTGCCATTTTAAAATATGATAAAGCAAGAAAAAAATTCAAGTTGGGAATAGTAGAGCTAATACGACGGCAGCGGCAATAAATGGAAATCAGTTCTTCAAATGAAGGAGTTTCTACAAAAAAAAAAAAAAGAAGAATATTTTAAAGATACTCAACATTTTCTATTTTTTTCCACCTTATTTTTTAAATGTTTGAACTGCTTTCCCAGCTTTAGGATATCTTCAGCTTGCACAGCTGACAGAAAAGTACACATGACTTATCATCTCTTATGAGCTAAGCGATATAGGAGGAACTGAAAAGAAATAGAAGCATCAGATAAAACCATAAAATTTCCTACTCCACATCCCACCTCAGCCATGAAACGAACTGCACGTTTTCTTTTCTCTCTTTTATTTTTTTTTTACTCAACATTTTCTATTTTTTCCATCTTATTTTTTAAATGTTTGAACTGCTTTTCCAGTTTTAGAATATCTTCAACTTCCACAGTTGACAGAAAAGTACACATGACATCATCTCTTATGAGCTAAGTGATATAGGAGGAGCTGAAAAGAAATAGAAGCATCAGAATTCCCACCAACCATAAAATTTCCTACTCCACATCCCACCCCAGCCATGAAACGAACTGCACATTTTCTTTTCTCTCTTTTATTTTTTTTTAAATAAGCTCCTATTTAAATAAATTTGCCTTTGGTATCTCCAAGAAAGCTCAAAAATAACCTTTGTAAAACTAACTACTGTGGCTAATCCACAGCATATTACAACAGGATTACCTGTTCTCAGGTCCCTCATACCTCTCAGGTATGAGGTCTCATAATAAGACCTACTAGCAGCACATTTCATTGGAGAAAAACAAACAAACAAAAAAAGAACAACTTAAACAACTTCATACCTATATTTCCTTTGTAACGAGCGACAGATCCTTCACCTAACTCCTTAACAGAGGTAGGCCAAAAGTAGAAGAAAGTGGCATATGCAAAATCTGTCAAAGGATGACCAGTAGTTGAAAGTTCCCAGTCCAGCACTGCCAAAACACGAGCCTTATATAAAAATAAAAACTTTAATGAATTATATGAGAAAAACAAGTTGAATTCTCTACACTCGCAAATGCTCAATCCACTTAATATCCAACATTTTTTTTGCTGGAATATGCTCCGAGGTAACCATATAAACCATATTACACACACGTGTTGTAACTGTCTACAGCAAAACCAGTTCCGTTTATCACAATGTTAGGATCTATAGGCAGTTAAGAGTCACACAGTTGTAGAAAAGTGGCCATGTTAACAACAGAAACTCATTCTATATTATACACCTTTGAGTAATGGCTTTCTTGTCAGAAACTTCCAAACTGTTCTATTCCAAATATACTTGAAATGCAATATTCTGAAGAATCGTAAAAGTATTGATAGGTTTCTTTCGTTTCTAGTCCTTCATAGACAATCCAGTCCATACACAATCCACTTCATATAGTCCAAGATATAATCTGCAATAAGTGTTTATAATCTAGCCACCCTGCATGACCACGCACGTCTCTGCATGATCCTTTGCTATTATCTTGAACTAGGTACAAAAGACTTTCCTACGTGGTCATTCCTGCATATCCAGGAACCATTTCTGTGCATTATTTACAATTTCATCTCCCAGCAGTTCTTTAAGAAAAGTAAACAAAAATTCATTAAGGTTGCTATTTTATGAATAACAGAACTGCATATATTTTGTTCTTTATTATGAAGAGGCATCAGAAACAGAATAGATTTGGAATTAATTCCAGGAATATCTGACACCTCTTGCCATCTCATGATGAACAGTGGAATAAAACAGAAAACACAGAATGCGTATATTCTGTTTTACTTATAATAAAAATTAACTTATGAGATAAGGTTGCTAAGCCTGATAAGGTGATCATGGTCAATTTTAAAATTACTATCTCTAGATCATAAAAGGGCAATTTGTCCTTTACAGAAGTCAAACTATATCACAAATTATATTTTAAAGTCCAAAATCCTACCTATACTTTGCAGGTACTGCAGAGTCTTGGTTACAAATAGCAGGCCTATCTTTTTCTCACAACCAAGCAAATAACTTGGAGAGAACCATTATGAAAATGTGATTAAATGGATACACAGTTTCTACAGACTAGAAAACCTCCTTTCCTTTCCTTTAAAGATGAATGAGGAACATTAATGGTCTCAATGCTTTACATGTCGTTAACTAATGAGCTTTGACAAATTCTTCTTTTCTTCCACTGATACCACATATGATGCATTTAGAACCTTTTCCAAAAGCTGCTGTGGTCAAGTCCTCCTGCAGATTTCAAGGGGTTTTGGAGCAGATGCTTATGTGGTTTAATGAAGTGAGCCTTCAGCATGTTCTTCATTTTCCACTGCACCCAGTAGGATTTATATACATGAAATGTCTTGTTTCTGGACTTTGAAATAGGAACATCTAATGAATGATTCAAGTAATTAACTCCTACAACAGAAACCTGTACTCTATTAGGTACCTAAGCTCCTTGCACAGAACATATGGAAGAGCTAAGTTCTCTGCTTTTCCTTTCTAAAGATATATAACATCAGTATACAAAGGACAGAAATATTATTTACGTCATGATTTGCCAAGACAGTCAAGCAATTTTGATGAATCAATACCCATGCTGCACATATTCTAAGTAGGCCGTACACAGACATAGGGCAAAACATGTACTAATACGCCAGGAAAATATCCCATTAACTGGTAGGGCTTCAAACAAACTGAGGACCTTAATGTATTATAAAACATGTATAAACGAGTATCAGAACCTCTGTTGGGTGGAAGATGATGTTATCTATTCTAAAATCCCCATGAACCAGTGTCTCCTCATTGTCATCAGGTGGCAAGTTGTTTGTTAACCACTCAGCCAGCTGGTTCATGGCAGGAATATCCGTATGAGCAGCAGCATCGTACTGTTTTTTCCAAGTTGACACCTGAAAACATAAAACACTTCAACAGTTTTTTCAAACTGACTGACAAGTTTTTCAAAAGCACAAAATTACGAAGCCAGTACTCCTAGGCTTTGACTATGTTACTTGTGAATTCAATAAAACCCAGTTAGCTTTGCATTTTGTACTGTGTGATTAAACAATTCAAAGAAGACTTCCTCCATTTCTTATTTCAATTCTACTTCTGTAGCCAAAGCTAGTGTTATACGTAAATGAATGAATAACATTCACCACTTGCAGCATTACAAGAAATTTGAAGGTAGCAACAATTTTGCAGTGTGTACAAATAATTGAATTAAGCAAAGCTGTTTAATAGCTTAAATATGATGGTCACTTTCAAGAGACATTAATAGAGGCATTAATTAACTTGCAATTCAATATATCTTCAAAGACTTAACAAAACAATAATATTTGAAGATCTGTACCTGTCTTCTGCAGTATCCTGGTCCTCTGCCATATCCTTGGAGGCCCAAAGACTTCAGGTCCAAAGAGCACAGCAGGGCCAGCGTTTCTATCATTGCAATGTAACAAGCAGAACGCTCTGCCGGGCCCACTTCAGGCAGCGAGACATCTCGGAAGATGCGACCCTAGAAGAATCATAAATCAGATATTTGGTGAGATATACGCCATCAGGTGCAGAGAAGTAGAGCTATGCATATCAGAGGCAATGAAGTGAACTAATCTCCCCAAGCGCAGTCCAAGATCTCTTCTTTATTTACTTACTTTCTTGCCCAGTACAGGTGAAGAGACTCACAGGAATCCCAAATCCTTCATGCCTAGGATGTCCACTGGAAACTGAGCCCTCAGGAGTTGTTCAATACGGAATGAGTGAGACTGACCTTTCCCATCAATAGCTAAAAAAAAACAGTCCTTTTTTTTTTTTTCTTTCCCTTCTGACAGCTGGTGTCACACAACAATTGAAAACAGAAGTGGCCGAGCTTCTGGATGCCAAGTGTCACCGGCTCTGACAAAGGGCCTGGGTTCCTCTACCCCACCGCAGACTTTGAGGGGAGGTGCTACAAAACCAGGTGCCGCAGACACAGAAGCAAGACAACAAAGCAGAGAATGGTGCTTCCCCAGACTTCACTGACAGACCCAATACAGAACAAAGATCCTACTGCAATACAATCCTTCCTTTTCTATTGTGGTTTTCTACTCATTTTCATTGGCTTAAAAAAAAAAAGTTCCTTCCTCAATATCCTGGAAACTTTTTAAACTTTAAATCAATCCAACTGTTGATATTTAGCAAGAAAGGTCGCAGGCTGAGATATCACTAACAGGCAAAAACCATCTCATTTTTTTTAATTAGTTTTCAAGAAAATGTAATTTTATGTAGATTACTATCTTCAGTGTTAACAGGGTGCCAGAATGTTCAAGGATTCAGCACAACTTTACAGCCTCACCTGATCTCCCTCTAACTTCTGCCTATGATTTTCACACATTATTATTAACTCACTTCAAGATACCCTCCTGGCAACTCAAAATATAACAAGGTTAAATGCTGAGCTTAATACTCCAACACAAAGGGAAGGACACACTGGAAAAGCTGAAGCTAGAAAAAAAAACCTCTGATAAATAGCACTTTCTGAAAATATCAGGAAATTACTTCTCTTTGTGTCCTTAAGATATGCTGATATACATATCAAACTCCTCAAAGTTAAGAAAATACTGGACAAGTCTCTATAGCATCAGAGGAAAAGTTAAAATAATTTAAAAGCAGCTTAGAGCAATGAGAAGAAAAAAAATACGTTCATATTGGTTGACCAACCTGCACATGCTGCATTACATAAAACTCTGTTCCAATGACAGAAACATCACTGCAGTACATCAGGGGCTCAGGGACTGGAAATCCAGCTGAAAATAAGGCTTTCTGCACCTGATATTCTCTATCAATCTGAAGAAGATATAGAGAGTTAGGCTCAGTAAAAAGTTTCCAAACATAGATCATTATTTTACTACACACAGTGAATGAAAATGTATCTTTTAAATGTTGTTACACATATCACACAGAAAACTGGAAATTAGATCATTAATTCATTGCATTTTTAGACAGATAATCACTGAAACATGTTGCAGAATCATTTATAGGACTTGAACATCTGCAGTAAAAAGTGTTTGGTGCTTGTCAGAGAAAATTACTTACCTTGTGAGCTCCAGGTAAAAGGGGACCATGAGGCTTCTTCCTGAGTACATAAGCCTGCCCATCCTTCTGAAGATAAAAGGTTGGGTTTGACTGGCCTGAGCTACAAATAAGATGATTTAAATTACTTATGAATTCAAGTCGTCAAGCATTTAACATAAGCAATGCAAAGTGCACTGTGACTTGCCCTGAACAGAATGGCAAGACACAGGAAAGAGTTCTTCTCAAGAGTTTTCTTTCAAATGAAAACTCACAAGGATGCTAGTAACAGCATCTACAAAGTCAGATCTGCTATTGCCACATGTAAGAAAGATGTCACCTTTCACTGTGAAAAAGTCACAGTTACGCAATTTGTTGTCCTGTGAAAGGAAGATAACATTCTCTTCTCTCCCCTAAAAGATATGATGATTGCTTTGAAGATCTGCAGTGAATGGATGATACTAACCTTTAAACTACTTAGTCTGAAAGAAGTTAAACTGAGCAAAATTTGCATGAGACCATAAGTGTTTTCTTCCTTTTGGTGAGCTGCAATTTCAAAAATGCAAATGTACAGAAAGCTTTCTAAGTAACTGAGGAACTTTAGTATCAAGTCTATTCATCTGCTTACATACATAAGGCACTGCCTAAAGCAACGGCGACGAGTGTCACAGTGACAAAGAATTAACAGAAATTAGACTTTTCAATCACATACGCAGATAAAGAGAGGAACATTCTAGATAGATAAATCCTTCATGACACCTTGATCCTCATTTTTCTAAAGACTGAGAAAATGAGCTAATCTAGTTCTAGACAAATCCTTCATGACATCTTGATCCTCATTTTCCTAAAGGTCGAGGAAAATGAGTTAATCCATACGCTGTTCTCTCCCCTTTTTGGATTCTTTATAAGAACTTTTAAGATCTAGTCCAATAGAAGATTAGACAACCATTATAAAAAAAAAAAATCAAAGTCAAGCAAGTATTTGCTTTCATGCTCCCTAGGAGGCTTCCATTTTCCCTGTGCCAGGCAGAGCACAGGCTGAAGTTGAGCAGGCAACTGTGCAGATCTACGCTCTAACAGACACAATAAAGCACTGGATTGTCTGAAGCCTTGAAGCGCAACCACAAGATGAATCAAGTAAGAGAAACGTAAATACTGACAATTTACTAGCAGATTTTACTATTGGGCGCTCCCCTGAGGCTCCTCCTAAACTCTCTTGGGCCAAAGTACTCCTGAAGACTTTGGAAAAGCTAAAGATTTGGACAGATGTTTCAGAACTGCATCAGAAGACAATAAAAATAGGGTCAGCAAAGTTTCTTAGAGATAACTTAAGATAAAGCAGTTGAAGTCATGTTTACTGAGTAATTAAAATATATTTTCAGAATCCTTTTTCTTCCCAGTTGCATCTGCTTTGAAGTTACATTAGTGATTTGCTGAAAAGCCAACTACAAAAACAACTTCTCCTGCGAAATGGGGTTTTGGAGGCCGCGTGAGCCCCTCACTTTTGCCACACGTTGTCCTCTGGGCATTAACGGGAACTTTGGCCCAGCACGATGCAGCTCATGGGTATCTGCCTATTTTTTTAACTGGCACCTGAAGCCGTTTAGGTGACTCTGGACACGATTGCCAGTTGAGCAAGGAAAGAACAGGCAGATAAGCCACGATCGATAAGTAGGTGAAAGGCAACAAACACCGAGGCGCGTGCCCAGGCAGGCTGCACCCCAGAGCGTTCGGCGACCCCAAGAAAGTTCCACCCGAGGCATCACCCACTTGCGTTACGCAACGCGGGTGGCCCAGGTCCAGCTGTGGCAAAGGTCGCCCCCTTCGTCGCGGAGAACTTTGCCTCTGCGGCGCCGCCAGCCCTGAA